CCACCACCTCCACCTCCACCAACACCTCCACCACCTCCACCAACACCTCCACCAACACCTCCACCACCTCCACCACCTCCACCACTTCCACCACCTCTACCTCCACCACCTCCACCACCTCCACCAACACCTCCACCACCTCCACCACCTCCACCAACACCTCCACCACCTCCACCACCTCCACCTCCACCAACACCTCCACCACCTCCACCACCTCCACCAACACCTCTACCACCTCCACCACCTCCACCAACACCTCCACCACCTCCATCACCTCCACCACCTCCATCACCTCCACCACCTCCGTCACCTCCACCACCTCCACCACCTCCACCACCTCCATCACCTCCACCACCTCCGTCACCTCCACCACCTCCACCACCTCCACCACCTCTACTACCTCCATCACCTCCACCACCTCCACCACCTCCACCACCTTCATCACCTCCACAACCTCCGTCACCTCCACCACCTCCATTACCTCCACCACCTCCGTCACCTCCACCACCTCCACCACCTCCACCACCTCCATCACCTCCACCACCTCTACTACCTCCATCACCTCCACCACCTCCACCACCTCCACCACCTTCATCACCTCCACAACCTCCGTCACCTCCACCACCTCCATCACCTCCACCACCTCCGTCACCTCCACCACCTCCACCACCTCCACCACCTCCATCACCTCCACCACCTCCACCACCTCCACCACCTCTACTACCTCCATCACCTCCACCACCTCCACCACCTCCACCACCTTCATCACCTCCACAACCTCCGTCACCTCCACCACCTCCGCCACCTCCACCACCTCCGTCACCTCCACCACCTCCATCACCTCCACAACCTCCATCACCTCCATTACCTCCACAACCTCCATCACCTCCACCACCTCCATCACCTCCACTACCTCCATCACCTCCACCACCTCCATCACCTCCACAACCTCCGTCACCTCCACCATCTCCATCACCTCCACCACCTCCATCACCTCCACAACCTCCGCCACCTCCACCACCTCCATCACCTCCACCACCTCCATCACCTCCACCACCTCCGTCACATCCACCACCTCCATCACCTCCACCATCTCCGTCACCTCCACCACCTCCGTCACCTCCACCACCTCCATCACCTCCACCATCTCTGCCACCTCAACCACCTCCGTCACCTCCACCATCTCCGTCACCTCCACCATCTCCGCCACCTCCACCACCTCCGTCACCTCCACCACCTCCATCACCTCCACCACCTCCACCACCTCCATCACCTCCACCACCTCCGTCACCTCCACCACCTCCGTCACCTCCACCACCTCCACCACCTCCACCACCTCCGTCACCTCCACCACTTCCATCACCTCCACCACCTCCGTCACCTCCACCACCTCCCTCACCTCCACCACTCTCCGTCACCTCCACCACCTCCATCACCTCCACCACCTCCGCCACCTCCACCACCTCCGTCACCTCCACCACCTCCGTCACCTCCACCACCTCCACCACCTCCATCACCTCCACCACCTCCATCACCTCCACCACCTCCGTCACCTCCACTCCTCTTTGCAGATCTTCTCCAAGTCATTCAGGTTTCGAGGATGATGTTTGGTAACGCGAACCTTCAGCTCCCTCCACAGATTTAATATGGGATTAAGGTCTGGAGACTGGCTAGGTCACCCCAGGACCTTAATGTGCTTCTTCTTGAGCCACTCCTTTGTTGCCATGGCCGTGTGTTTTGGGTCATTGTCATGCTGGAATACCCATTCACGACCTATTTTCAATGCCCTGGCTGAGGGAAGGAGGTTCTCACCCAATATTTGACGGTACATGGCCCCGTCCATCGTCCCTTTGATGCGGTGAAGTTGTCCTGTCCCCTTAGCAGAAAAACACCCCCAAAGCATAATGTTTCCACCTCCATGTTTGACGGTGGGGATGGTGTTCTTGGGGTCATAGGCAGCATTCCTCCTCCTCCAAACACGGCGAGTTGAGTTGATGCCAAAGAGCTCCATTTTAGTCTCATCTGACCACAACACTTTCACCCAGTTGTCCTCTGAATCATTCAGATGTTCATTGGCAAACTTCAGACGGGCATGTATATGTGCGCTGCAGGATTTCAGTCCTTCATGGCGTAGTGTGTTGCCAATTGTTTTCTTGGTGAATATGGTCCCAGCTGCCTTGAGATCATTGACAAGATCCTCCCATGTAGTTCTGGGCTGATTCCTCACCGTTCTCATGATTATTGCAACTCCACGAGGTGAGATCTTGCATGGAGCCCCAGGCCGAGGGATATTGACAGTGTTTCTTCCATTTGCGAATAATCGCACCAACTGTTGTCACCTTCTCACCAAGCTGCTTGGCAATAGTCTTGTAGCCCATTCCAGCCTTGTGTAGGTCTACAATCTTGTCCCTGACATCCTTGGAGAGCTCTTTGGTCTTGGCCATGGTGGAGAGTTTGGAATCTGATTGATTGATTGCTTCTGTGGACAGGTGTCTTTTATACAGGTAACAAGCTGAGATTAGGATCACTCCCTTTAAGAGTGTGCTCCTAATCTCAGCTCGTTACCTGTATAAAAGACACCTGGGAGCCAGAAATCTTTCTGATTGAGAGGGGGTTAAATACTTATTTCCCTCATTAAAATGCAAATCAATTTATAACATTTTTGACATGCGTTTTTCTGGATTATTTTGTTGTTATTCTGTCTCTCACTGTTCAAATAAACCTACCATTAAAATTAAAGACTGATCATTTCTTTGTCAGTGGGCAAACGTACAAAATCAGCAGGGGATCAACTACTTTTTTCCCTCACTGTACACCCTCTCCACCATCTCCATCACCTACACCATCTCCACTATCGCCATAACCTACACCATCTCCATCACCTCCACCATCTCCATCACCTACACCATCTCCACCATCATCACCTACACCATCTCCATCACATAAATCATCTCCATCATCTCCGCGCTTTCCAGCAACTCGCATTGAAAGTCAGGCTCGCTTGAACCAACGCCCGTTGAACTGCCGGACGCTCGAGGTATAAACGCCATAAATGTAATGCTGAGCAACACAACATAACCATTAACCTCGTTGCGGACAATATAAGTGACACAATAACGAAGCAGTCATTCGCCTCCTTCCCAGATCCTTGGCTCCGCAATATAAAACACGCACGTGGCACGTGGCACGCGGCACGCGGCACAACCCCTGCGTTGCTGGTGGTGGTTGGTGGTGGTGGTGGGGAGCGGTGGTGAAGCGGTTAGCGTGCTGCGCCATGAACCTGGGCCACCCGAGTTTGATTCCCGCTCATGGCCAACACCAGTGACGATGATCTGAAACGGTCTTGGGCCTCCCCTAGGTCGACTCAGCCTCATTTGAGTACCTGGGGCGGTGTGTAAACATCGCCACTGGAGAGACAAAGGCGGCCGTGCGTGGTGCCGGCCACCCACCCCCTCGTGTGGTGTTCCGGCCTTCATAGCTGCTCGCTAACAGCACTCGCCCCTACAGTCTGTCAAGGCTACACGGGGGAGCTTTGTCTTTGGTGGGCCAGGTCAGGCCACGGGCGCCGTAGTGACACCGCCCGTGAGTCACGTGGTGACGGCGAGTGGCCAGGGGGGGGGGGGGGGGGTCGTTTGTATTGGGTGCCGTCGTGAAGCGTCGGGGAGATTTTGACTTTAAACTTCCGGGACTGCAGGAATTCATATTCTTGGGTTCTTTCGGTAAAGTCACGTAGATTAAAAAAAAACAATAATCATATATTTAAAATAAAAGAATTATATCTACGTGACTTCACCGAAAGAACCAAAGACGACGTTGGGGAGACATTGAAGACGGACAGGCGTGCGGTGGCGGTGTTTGGGCCAACGTGGCCGTGTCACGTTGCAGATGTTCGCCATGGACACCCCACACCACCACAACCACCACCACCACCAGCAGCAGAACGCCCACGGGCAGCAGTTATCGCCACTGCTTGCACGCCGCGTTAGCCAACAATGAATGTTGTGGGGGGGGGGGGTGAAACGTTGCTCGCGTTACAGGCCAGGCTGGACAGGCGCTAGTCGTGACCCTTGCAGGCACGCGCGTGTCACGCGCTCGGTCTCGTGACCCTCAGACGGCGGTGGCGGGCGCCGTGTCACGTGTCCCGTCGCGTTGCGTCACAAACCCGGGCACCCATGATCCTACACGGGGCGACACGGGGAGGGGAGGGGAGGGAGGGAGCCTCATTGTCTCTCGACATCGTGAAGTCCCCACCAGTGTTGCGTTACAGCTGGTGAGACATTGCACGCTAATATCGCGGTGTGCGCGTGTTTTGTGTGTAAATAGCTCGGTGGACTTTGCGTGGCAGGATCGGGACGGTGTCGTGTTTTGTTTGTCTTTGTTGTTTACCTGTCTTGTACTTTGCACTCCTGCCGTGTGTTTTTGAACACGTTTGTTGGTGTCACGTTCTTACCGGCGCCGACTGGGCATCTGTGAAAAAGAGCTTTATAGCTCATCGGATTCCTGCAGTCTAAATAAATATTCTGATTCTGTGTGTGCATGTCGTAGTGTCGCTGTTAACGCTACGCTGCACTACGAACCCGGCGACCCGGGTTCGATTCCAACACCCAGTGACGATTATCAGAATCGGACATGGGCCTCCCCTAGGTCGACTCAGCTTCAAATGAGTACCTGGTGCGATGTGTAGTAAACATCGCCACTGGGGAGACAAAGGCGGCCGGGCGTGGTGCTGGCCACCCACCCCTTCGTGTGCCACCGTGCCGGCACGTGCGCATGTATGTATCACCACTCGCGTGTATGTACATAGTGTTGTATGTGTATATACGCATATAGAGCAGTTTGTGCATGTACAAACTAGTTATCGTATGACTAAGGCGGCCGGGCATGCTGCTGCTGCTGCTGGCCGTTCCGGGTCTTCATCGCTGTTCGCTGACAGCACTTGCCCCAACAGTCTGTCACAGGCTACACGAGGGAGGGGAATCGTTGTCTTTGTGTGCGTGCAGCTACGGGGTGAAGGAGCTGAGCGGGCAGAAGCGCTTGTCGGGACCCGGCCTGGAGGCGCAGGACGCGATGGGGATGATGATGGGCGGTGGGAAGTGGCCGTTCAGGTGAGTGGCGAGGGGCACGGCCATCGGTCCATCCTCCTCCTCCTCCCTGTCCTCGTTGGTCTCTCAACGAGGAGCGCAGAAGCGTTACAACTGCAGCTTCGTGACCACGCGGAACACCTTGATATTCACTACGATGATGAATGTCTGTGTGTCCCGCGCGTGACGTCACTCCACGTCGGCCAGCCCCCCCTCATTAATAATCATGAACGGGTTACGTCCTCCACATGGACTCCCCCCTCATTAATAATCATGAGCGGGTGACGTCACTCCGCATGAAGAACCCCTCCCCCTCATTAATAATCATGAGCGGGTGACGTCGCTCCGCATGAGGAACCCCTCCCCCTCATTAATAATCATGAGCGGTGACGTCACTCCGCATGAAGAACCCCTCCCCCTCATTAATAATAATTATCGGGTGACGTCACTCCACACGGGGGGGGGGGGCGAGGCGCCTCCTCCCCCCTCCTCGGCGTCAACTGACAACCCTCACTACAAAGGCAGAACCCTCACGTCATCACGTGATCTCCGTCACGCTGTTGAGACATCAAAGTAAAAATGACGTCACTCCACATGCGCTCCCCCTCATTATTATTCACGTGTGCCTGGAGTTTTTGACGAACGCAGAAGAAGGTCAAGCGGCTATGATAATTTTTTTACGCAAATTCGCTTTCAATTTTTACATATCTTTGTAGAAAGTGAAGGCAATAAATAATTACACGCCGCATCACAGTGCATTTGATGTCTTTATGTATTTCTTTGGCACGTCCAACAAAAGGTAAGTCTATCACGACGTGATATTCATCGCACGTTGCACGTTGCTTCGTTGTTTTACGAGCTCGTGTGCTAACCGACCCGTGTGAGGCTTTGTGTTTCCCCCTTCGAGTTCACGAATCGATCGTTCATCAGAATCACTCGACTGAATTTTTAACTTCGATTGAAACTCCCCTGTCGTCGCATTGTCACTTCTGCCGTCACGCTGTCACTCAGCCACGTGGTCACTCAACCACGTGGTCACTCAGCCACGTGGTCACTCAGCCACTCTGTCACTCAGCCACGTGGTCACTCAGCCACTCTGTCACTCAGCCACGTGGTCACTCAGCCACTCTGTCACTCAGCCACGTGGTCACTCAGCCACGCTGTCACTCAGCCACGTGGTCACTCAACCACGTGGTCACTCAGCCACGCTGTCACTCAGCCACGTGGTCACTCAACCACGTGGTCACTCAGCCACGTGGTCACTCAGCCACGTGGTCAGTCAGCCACACTGTCACTCAGCCACTCTGTCACTCAGCCACTCTGTCACTCAGCCACGTGGGCACTCAACCACTCTGTCACTCAGCCACTCTGTCACTCAGCCACGTTTTCACTCAGCCACGCTGTCACTCAGCCACACGGTCACTCAGCCACGTGGTCACTCAGCCACGTGGTCACTCAGCCACACGGTCACTCAGCCACGCTGTCACTCAGCCACTCTGTCACTCAGCCACGTGGTCACTCAGCCACGCGGTCGCTCAGCCACGTGGTCACTCAGCCACTCTGTCACTCAGCCACGCTGTCACTCAGCCACGTGGTCACTCAGCCACTCTGTCACTCAGCCACACGGTCACTCAGCCACGTGGTCACTCAGCTACTCTGTCACTCAGCCACATGGTCACTCAGCCACGTGGTCACTCAGCCACTCTGTCACTCAGCCACGTGGTCACTCAGCCACGCGGTCACTCAGCCACGTGGTCACTCAGCCACTCTGTCACTCAGCCACGTGGTCACTCAGCCACGTGGTCACTCAGCCACTCTGTAACTCAGCCACGTGGTCACTCAGCCACGCGGTCACTCAGCCACGTGGTCACTCAGCCACTCTGTCACTCAGCCACGTGGTCACTCAGCCACGTGGTCACTCAGCCACTCTGTAACTCAGCCACGTGGTCACTCAGCCACGTGGTCACTCAGCCACTCTGTCACTCAGCCACGTGGTCACTCAGCCACGTGGTCACTCAGCCACTCTGTAACTCAGCCACGTGGTCACTCAGCCACGTGGTCACTCAGCCACGCTGTCACTCAGCCACGTGGTCACTCAGCCACGTGGTCACTCAACCACGTGGTCACTCAGCCACGTGGTCACTCAGCCACGTGGTCAGTCAGCCACGCTGTCACTCAGCCACTCTGTCACTCAGCCACTCTGTCACTCAGCCACGTGGTCACTCAACCACTCTGTCACTCAACCACTCTGTCACTCAGCCACGTGGTGTGTCTCCTTGCGCAGGCTGCTGCAGATGTGCCACGCGCTGCTGGGCGAGCTGGGCGAGGAGGAGATCTACGCCGCGTTCCGCTCGGCAGCGCCGCCGGGCCAGGGGCTGGCGCCGTGGCTGTGCCAGCGCGACTGTGGCGCCCAGGGGGCGGCACAACGAGACGTCACGCCGCTGTCGAGAGAGCACACCGAGATGTGACACCCACACTGACACGTGACACCCACACTGTGACACCCACACTGTGACACCCACACTGGGACACTCACACTGTGACACCCACACTGTGACACCCACACTGTGACACCCACACTGTGACACCCGCACTGTGACACCCACACTGAGACAGCACAACGACACGTGACACCCGCACTGTGACACGTACTGGAACACCACACCGACACGTTACACAACCGTCATTAACCACTAAGTGGCGGTGACGTCACTACGACGCTTGTGCCAGGCCATGTGCACCTTGAGGCCACGTGAAGTTTCGAACGCCCGCTGGCAGGAGGTCACGGGGCAGACCAAGGTGCCACGGGTCGACTGACTGAGATGAGTGGCTGATGCACCACCTGTGCCCCCTACTGTGTCAACCTGCTGTGCTTTAGCCACACGGCGCTCCGCTCGTTGTTGTGAGCGTCGCTCCGCCGCCCTCCGTTGTTGTTGGAGGGCGACTGCCTCCAACTGCCCAGTAGCATCCTTCACGAGCCTCCTCCACAGAGGCCGATCTTGACACCGCTGGTACCAGTCATCGGCAAGTCCACTCAGCTCCACGTCCTCCTGTACCACATCACTCCATCTCTTCTCTAGCCCATGCCGCGCCCGTTTATCCCCCTCGATCCGGCCAAACAAAAGCTGTTTCGGCATGCGGTGGCTGGGCATGCGGGCTACATGACCCAGCCATCGCAGCCTTGCCTGCCGGAGGAGCTCACCGATGGGACCATGCCCAGATCTTTCAAAGATTTGTGAGCTCCTCACACAATCCAGCCTGGTTAAACCCATGATGGATCGTAGGCTGCCTAGCCTAAATGTTTCTAACCGACGAAGATGTTCCATTAGGGGGGTCCACGTTTCGCAAGTGTAGAGAAGTGAGGGAATGACCGTGGCCGAGAAGACCTGAAGCTTAGTGCGGAGCGACAGACCAGGTAGCTTCCACACAGCGTTACGCAACCGATGAAAATATATTGCTGCTCGACTGTTTCGGAGTGAGACCTCTGCTGTTAAACTGGAGCCGGTCATAAGCACACTGCCCAGGTATGGGAGTTGTGGGGGTGGAGTGTCCGATGGTACAAAATACCCAGGCAGGTGCTTAGTTTTGGTGGGGCTGATGGTAAGGCCCCATCTCTTAGCGGCACGCTCCAGTCTCAGCAGCAGCGTCTCCAACTCCGCCTCTGAATGAGCAACTATTACAAAATCATCGGCATACATAACGTGGTTGAGCAATAGGGAGCCATCCCTTGACCGCACCCGTGCATCGATCAGCCTCCCATTATATCTGTACAATATGGAGATTCCCCCGGTACAGCTATTGAAGGCTTCACGAACTACGTGGTCAAAATAGATGTTAAATAATGTGGGAGCCAGACGACATCCCTGTCGCACCCCAAGGTGTACAGGGAATGGCTCTGACTCCCAGCCACGTAGTTTTACCCGGGCCCGCTCACCATCATGAAGGTCCTTATTGATCGTGAGCAGAGGGTCAGGGACTCCAAAAGCACGAAGAACAACCCAGAGCCCAGGCCTACTGATGGTATCATAGGCCTTGACCAGGTCAATAAAGCAGAGATGTAGGTCTTGCTGGAATTCCCTATACCTCTGCTGTAGCAGACGGACAGAAAATATGGCATATGTGCAGGACCGCCCTTTCCTGAAACTGCATTGGGGTTCCGCAAGCCTCTCCTCAGCGTGCCTGGCAAGGCGATGTTGAATAATCCTTGCCAGGACCTTTCCCGGCACACTGAGGAGTGAGATGCCCCTGTAGTTGTTACAGTCTGTGCGGTCCCCCTTCTTAAAGAGGGGGACCACCAGGGCATCCTTCCCATTTTGCGGAACCTGTCCAGTGGTCCAGACTTTTGTTATGATGTCATATAGGGCAGTCTGTGCACAAACGCCACCCTCCCTCAGCATTTCGCTTGGGAGATCATCTCTACCCGGTGCCTTTCCTGGTCTGAGACTCCGGATCACCCTCAGTACTTCCTCAACAGATGGCACCTCAGCCAGCCACTCGCAGGGGGTGACTTCTTCCAATATTTGAGGCACTACAGCCTCAGCATGGTTATCCCCAGTTTGCGCCCCGATGTTTTCCTGGCTGAGGGAGTTCCCCTCCCCCAGGACCTCAGAAATGCTCAGCAAATCTGCAAACCTGTTCCTGGGGGTCGGAGATTAGATCACCGTTCTTTCCCCTAATGATGGTAATAGGTGTGGCGCTGCAGGTTACTTTTTTGATGGAGTTAAATTGAGATTTATGATCGCGGGCCACTGAGGCAGACTCCATCTCCTCAGCAACCCACGACCACCACCCATCCTTGCAGCGCCTCACGGCTCTCCGAACCTCCGAGCGAAGGCTGCGGTATGCCTCCTCATTCTCTGACGTGGGATTCTGTAGCCGATGACAGTGGGCCTGTCGCTTTTTCTCAACCATCCTGAACACCTCTTGTCAGCCAGGGTCTCTGGAGAGGTCTGGACTGCGTACCCAAAGCAGCCATTGTAGCTGCATGAGTCACAGTCCTAAACCTCGCCCATTTACCCTCGACATCAGGAGGAGTGGGGGACGATGCCAACCCCAGCCGCACGCGATGATGAATTTCTCGCTTGCAACTTTCATCAGGTAACTGAGACCAGGCCACTTTAGGTTGGAATGGGGTCCTGGGTGTACACCCACCACTGGAGTGGAAGAATGGCAAGCGCATCTTACAGATGACTAGTCGATGGTCAGAGGGCAGATCAGCTTCACGGTAGGTCCTGGTGTCAAGGACTTGGGCTCGCATCCGCTGGTCCGTCATTATGTAGTCCAGCAGATGTTCTTGCTTGGACCCGGCATGCATCCATGATGTTGTGTGGATGCGCCGATGCCGGAACAGCGTGTTGGTAATTAAAAGCCCATGGGCTGCACAAAAATCTAGCAGCCTCCTACCGTTGTTATTGAGCTGATCTGGCCCATGCCCTCCAATCACTCCAGACCAGGTGCCAGCATCATGACCAACTCGGGCATTGAAGTCACCCAACAAGATGACTCTATCCCGAGGGGCCACTTTAGCCAGCACCTGTGACAGGAGGTCATAGAAGGCATCTGACTCATCGGCTCTGCCTGCATCCCTCCACGGATGTTCATCTTCGGTGGGGGCATAAGTAACCACGACCACCACTCCTCGCCTCCGATTGATGGGAAAGCAAGCCCAAAGTAGCCTGGGGCTTACAGCTTTCCACACCTTACCACCACGCTCCCACACACCCTTCATTCTTTTGTTCAAAAGAAGAGCCACACCCTGTTGTTTGGCAGTCTGCTGCCCCGAGTAGAGGACTGTCCACCCCTCATGGTGGCAGGAGCCAGAACCGGTCCACCGGACGTCCTGAATGCCACAGAGATCCAGGTGGTACCGGTCCAGCTCCCGACAGAGGAGTGACAGCTTCTCCTCCGCAGTGAGCGTTCGAACATTCCACGTCGCCACACGAAGTGGCTTTTCTTTGTTTCTGGAGGAGCCCCGAGCGTAGATATTCAATCTCCTGGCTCCGCCAATTGGGGTTTGGCCAGGAGACGTCATAGACGCCTGGCCCCCCGGGGCCTCCGGCACAAGCTTATTAGTTACATATTTAAGTCGTAGTTTCGTGGTAATTAATTGAAGGTGGAGGGGTTACCAGCCCCTCGCACCTGTCCAGAGCCCCCGTTTAGCCACTGTGGTGGTCACAGATGCCATGAGGGGAGGGGCCAATCGCAATTGGCCCTCCCCCCACAGCACTGTCCACAACAGAGTTGCCCGTCCGGCACCGCGAGGAGGTCGGGGGTTGTTTTGCCACACGACACGTGACACCCACACTGTGACAGCTCACCGACACGTGACACCGACACGTGACACCCGACACGTGACACCCGCACCGAGACACCCGCACACCGACACGTGACACCCGACACCCGCGCTGGGCACTCCGAGTGGTTGGCGCCGCCACGTGGTCGAGGCGCGACATCGCGCGCGGCGTCGCGGGCGTTCGGGGCCGACTCCGCGGGAGGCCGCAGAGGTCGCCGATGTCTCCGCGCGTCGGGATCGCAGGAATGTTCGAGCGATTTAACAGTCGATGGGGTTAGGGATGTGGCGAGGTTTTACAAAGAAAAACAAGAGGATGCATCTTTTAGCCACTCCAAACCCTCGGAATCTCTGCGCGGAAGGGATTCTCATTTCGCAAGGCCGTTTGTTCGTCTTCTATGCAAAGGAAATCGGTCAAACATCCTCCCCGTCCACCTGCCGTGCACGGCGAGCGCTGTGAATATTTAACTCTTAATATAAAGGTGAACAATGGGACATCAGCTTGCGTCTGGGTTCTTTCCGTCTGTGTGTGCGCGTGCGTGCAAGCGGAGAGTTTCCCATACCTGGGCAGTGTGCTTATGACCGGCTCCAGTTTAACAGCGGAGGTCTCACTCCGAATCAGTCGAGCGGCAATATCTTTTCATCGGTTGCGTAACGCTGTGTGGAAGCTACCTGGTCTGTCGCTCCGAACTAAGCTTCAGGTCTTCTCGGCCACGGTCATTCCCTCCCTTCTCTACGCTTGCGAAACGTGGACCTCCCTAACGGAACATCTTCGCCGGTTAGAAACATTTAGGCTGGCCTGCCTACGATCCATCCTGGGTTTAACCAGACTGGATTGTGTGAGGAGCTCACAAATCCTTGAAAGATCTGGGCAAGGTCCCATCGGTGAGCTCCTCCGGCGGGCAAGGCTGCATTGGCTGGGTCATGTAGCCCGCATGCCCAGCCACCGCATGCCGAAACAGCTTTTGTTCGGCCGGATTGAGGGGGCTAAGCGGGTGCGGCACGGGCTAGAGAAGAGATGGAGTGATGTGGTACAGGAGGACGTGGAGCTGAGTGGACTTGCCGATGACTGGTACCAGCGGTGTCAAGATCGACCTCTGTGGAGGAGGCTCGTGAAGGACGCTACTGGGCAGTTGGAGGCAGTCGCCCTCCAACAACAACGGAGGGCGGAGGAGCGACGCTCAGAACAACGAGCGGAGCGCCGGGTGGCTAAAGCACAGCAGGTTGGCACAGTAGGGGGCACAGGTGGTGCATCAGCCAGTCATCTCAGTCAGTCGACCCGTGGCACCTGGGTCTGCCCCGTGACCTCCTGCCAGCGGGCGTTCTACACTTCACGTGGCCTCAGGGTGCACATAGCCTGGCACAAGCGTCGTGGTGACGTCACCGCCACTTAGTGGCCAATGGCGGTTGTTGTGCAAGCGTTTTGTCAGCACACCGCTCGTTGACCCAGCGAAGGCTTACCGAGTCTCAAGACTCTTCTTCAGGAGGCTCCTGCCAGGTTTTCACAGCAGGAGTGGCTTGC